ACATACAGAACTACCAAATTTTGCTATAAGTTTGATTGCATCATATAATAATTGCTGTTAATAGTGTTCATCGTCTGTTTGATTACGTCTTTAATTTATTTTTCCGTACATTTCTGCCATTTGTACATTAACTGAAAGTCACCACTGATAAGCTACTACTAAATATTGTAGAAACTTAATTTGCTGTAAAGTTGCTTTGCAACGATTTGTATCGTGAAAAGCGCTATACAAATAAACTTGAATTGAATTGAATTAAATGAACAAACAAATATAAATGTACGTTATGTATCATGGTCGATTCTATAGAAGGTGAATTCCGCCATTAAATATATACACGTATATATATATATATACAGTATATACACACACATATTGCAATATGTAAAAATACTATAGTACAATTCTAAGGAAAACATCTGTATTGTGAGAAAAAAGTCCTGACTGACTCTACGGCAAGACAAGTCCCTCTTAGTTACTGTTGCTATGTCCAACTAGCCATGGCGCTCTCACGCCACTCATCATGTTCTCACGCAGTGATAGATGCATTGCGGAGCAAAGAGGACACTGACACACTGACAGACAAGACAGAACAGGTCACTTTTGGCATGAAACAAAGTCTCAGATTCCAAATTTTGACATTTTTTAAAAAGAAATTCAAATACAGTTTTGTGGCTCTTTAATGTGTCAAGACAGATCGCTGTAGCGCCTCAGGTCAAGCAGCACGTGAACTGATCATCTCTTCCACTTTCCTAGTTATAGTACAAAATAAACATGAATGAACATCAGAAGCTATCTTGTTTCAACCGTGAAATGACATCAATGCACACCATTTTTCAAGTTCAAGTCCACCAGCGTTAATCTACTCTCCTGTCTGGATTGTTTGTCAGACAAAATTGCAGATCTGCCATTATGATTGGTCAGATCACCTGTCAATCAAGCTCCCGGCGATGGGTGAACTGTAAGATATAAACTCAGAATTTTGAAAAAAAATTGTCTTAATCGCAAGATGTAAACCTGCATGTACCTGTAAACTCGCAATTAATTAGCAATTTCGAGATATAAACTTGCAATTCTGAGAAAAGAAAGTCTGAATTCTGAAATAAAAATGTGCAATTACTTTATTTTATTTTATTTTGTTGTTTGTTTGTTTGTTTGTTTTTTATTTCATGGTGGAATTAAAATTTAATTCTGAAGGGCTGGAATGTGTTTAATGCTGTTTAATCCTGTGCATTAAAACAGTTTAATGCACAGGGAGTTCCAATCAGTTTAATCACCATTCTATTAATGCCCAGCCTTCATTGAAGCACACACATTACTCGCACATAGTAGTCACATACTTTCTTGGAGGCAACCGATATCCATATGCAGTGACATTTACATATATAGTGATTTTTATCTTACAAATGAGGAACATCACAAGCAATCTGTAAGCGCCAACAATATTTGCAGAACACAATGGCAAGTTTAAAATATAAATGAGATCAGTAAACAACAACATACGGCATATATATGAATCAGTGTTGAGTGTCATGTGTTATCATGATGGTGTTTAATCTGTTAAACTTTTTTTTTAAACATTGTACCAGGTGTAAACACTGAAGTGGTCATAAAATCCACCCAAATCATGTCTCACGGGTCATGGATGAAGTTTAGCATAGATGATATAGCATTTATGCCTCAATGTAAGACAGAAAAGAAACAAAGCACAGATGCTAGGGGGAAGCTGCTCTGTTATTGTGTGAAGAATGATGAAGCGCAGTGGCTTCTCAGCCCAGCACCAAAATCAATACAAGTCATTCTCCTCGATCCATCATTTCAACTTAATAAAGTGGCTTGAGACCATCAGTCCCTATAAAGCTGCATATAGCTGGTGCTGATGATGTCATTATTGAAAAGCATTAAAGAAAGTTATTGAAGGAGCAGTTTCTTAAAAAAATATTTTGTCATAATTTGCTCAATGTTATTCCAGGCCTGTATCATTTTCTTCATTGAAATGTTAGGAAGAATGTCTGTTTTGCTCTTTTGCAAACAATGGAACTGGACAATGATATATGGATGACAGATTTTAATTTTAGTGATTCTTTAAATCACTGTATGTCCCATCACATGAGAAAAATGCATATGAACTCATGTTGTGATTTGTTTGACACTTTAATAAAATGATCACATAATTTTACATTGAAATGGGGTTTATGAAACAGGATTCTAAAAAAAAAAAAGGTCATCCAACATTCAACTATTCAACTGAGATCCTAAAAGATTAGCAAATTCGCACAGCCTCCACCACAAAACAGAGTAACTGGGAACATTCTATTCCAGAAATGTGTTCCTGGACAACTATCAGCCAGATCTTCAGCTCAGATATGAGCTGCATCTGGCTGCCTCAGGCACGAAGAGACTTCTGTTCCAACATTTCCCAGCTGCTGTTGGTCTCTTCATCCAGCCACAGACCAGAGCCCCCGAACCAGGAAGACTGGCTGTGGCACATTAGGATAACTGTCACAGCTCATGGGGCATTCTAATGATGCAGTCAGAGACTAGACTGATTACACATTTAATAATATTAAACACACATGGGAAACAGGTCTTTTTCATTTAGTATTTTCCCTTCTGCAGTTAGAGAGACTATTTTAAGGGCCTGTGTGCCTAACATTTTAATGAAGGGCCTCTGTGGCTAACATGTCTTTACCTTGGGATTTTGGAACTGGACATATCTAAAAATGACTTTAGGCCTTTTTTAGGGACACCATCTCTACCGACAATTTACAAATTTCATACATCACAGGCAATTCCACTATGGGCTACCAGAATTGGCTAGGTTGTCCCAACTTAAACAGTACCGTAAGAAAATCAACATGCCATATAGTTAACCATCAGAACCTCAGACAAAATTTTGCTTGATTGCAGTTTTACAATTATTTTGAAAGAAGAATCCTAGTCTGTAGCACTGGTCATCTTATAAAAAAAGACCCACTGCGGTTCATCAACAGCATTTAATATAAACCAAATGAACTTTATTCTCTTGTGGTGGCCTATTTTATCAGAAAGCTAAGTAACAAGTACACAAGTATATTTGAAAGTCAACTCTGCTGGAACTGAACCCATTTGAAAAAGTATTTACTTTAATTAAATTCTACAAATTAGTACTGTGGTGGTACCATGGTACAGTGATGGTATTATATGGTAATACTATTAAATGGTATGTTGATATAGACCAAATGTACTATGATTGTCATATACATACATATTTAAATTTAATCTAAATATTTATTGACCTTTTTTTTTTTGTTTTTATCCAAAGCAACTTATAAAATAGGAATATCACAAGCAATTTTTCATAAGAGCCAACCGTATTCATAGTGCACAATGCTAAGTTCAAAGTTTAATTTAGATGTAGAGTGTGTCATGGGATAGTGCAGGCAAAGGAAATATTTGAGACGAGAATCTCAATGTAAGCCTTTATTAAATAAAACAAAAAACACACTGAAGCACAGGAAAACCATACAAGCAATGCAAGCCAACCTATACGATCATGGGACAGTACAACCCCTCCCGGTAGGTTGGAGACCAAGTTGCTGGACCAGAGGGCCAAGGCAGAGCCGAAGGATCCGAAGGGGAGCTGAGGGCTCAGAAGACCTAGGCAGACCCAGTGGGAACAAGGATGATGGTAGAGCCAGAGGGTTGGAAGAACCCGGTGGAGCAGAAGGAATGAAGGGCTCAGGTGCAGCTGGAGGCCCAGAAGTTCACAGTGATTAAGGACCCTGGTAAAGCCAGAGGGATGACAGGCTACAGGG